CCAGTCCCAGTTGCCATCCTTGTCTTGGGCTGGAGGTCAGTTCCCAGGAGCAAAGGGACCAGCCTGTGGGATGGTTCCCCGTCATGCCGGGGTGCCCTTAGGCCCCATGTGCTGATCTCCCCTCTCGCCCCAGCTACATCCCCTGGAACTACCATGAGCCGCTGCCGGGGGTTTATGACTTTGCTGGGGACCGGGACGTGGAAGCCTTCCTGGACCTGACAGCCGAGCTGGGGCTTCTGGTGATCCTGCGGCCGGGACCCTACATCTGTGCGGAGTGGGAGATGGTGAGCCTCAGCCTGGCACAGAGGGGTGACGGGTGGTCTGGGAAGGGCACAGCGGGGTTGGCCCTTCTGGCTGGCACGCTGACTGTGGTGCCATGCCAGCCATGCCCAGGCTGCCGCCCCATGGGGCACGCGCTGCTCCAGTGCCGAGCATTGGCATTGTGCTGGCTGGGTTTCGGCTGTGTGCCAGCTCGGGCTGCTGAGTGGTTTCTCTGCCTCCCTCTCTGCTGTGTGTTTTTCTCCAGGGTGGCCTACCTGCCTGGCTGCTGTGGAAACCAGACATCATCCTGCGCTCCTCTGACCCCGGTGAGCCTCGTCACAGGGCTCTGGCCACCATGTCCTTACAGCCTGGTGCCAGTCCCAGCACGCCTGTCTCTCTCCACACACGTACCCAGCCCTGCATGCAGGGTCTCTCCCATCCTCTTCTCCATCTTCTGGGAGCCCCATAGTTTGTCCTCCACCTCTGCTTACCCATCGCGCTCAGCCCTGCCCTGTCTGCTCCATCCTCCTCTTAGCAGGGCTGGCTATGGGTGGGCTGGGGTGGATGCTGCAGCCAGGCTGAGCTGCCCTCTGCCACCCAGCCTACCAGGCAGCCGTGGACTCCTGGCTCCATGTCCTGCTTCCCAAGATCAAGCCACGACTATACCAGCACGGAGGGAACATCATCAGTGTGCAGGTAGGGTGCTATGGGACCCAGCCCCCTGCTCTGCCCTGGGTCATCTTCGGATGTGCCCCAAAAAGCCACCTGTACCCTGTAGGCGATGATCTCATCCGGCACAGCTCTTAGATAAATCCCTCCTGACATCTGGACCTGGGTTTAAATCCAAGGGCTGGCACTCTGGGGTACCCATCACCACCCCAGTTGTGGTTTGAGGGACACTGGCAGAGCTGGGCATTGTGGGCGGGCTGGAAGGTCATTCTCAGGACCCACCTGGGGGCTGTCATGAACATCTGATGATGTTGGGAGGGAAGGGGGGAGCTGGGTGCTTGTCCCAGTGGGCGGTGGGACCTGGCTGCAGCCCTGCCATGTCCATGCTGGGTGCTGGCCCCTGCCCTGCTCGCAGGTGGAGAACGAATATGGGAGCTACTACGCCTGCGACTATGGGTACCTGCGGCACCTGCTGGGCTCCTTTCGGGCGCTGCTAGGAAGCGAGGTGCTGCTCTTCACCACTGATGGCACACGGGCAGAGGAGCTGCGCTGCGGCACGCTGCAGGGGCTCTACGCCACCGTCGACTTTGGGCCAGGTACCCCTATGGGGGAGGAGGAGGAGAGGGCATGGGGGTCACTGCTCCGTCCTGCTCCAACCCCCCTCCCTTGCTCCACCTCTGCAGGCTCCAATGTGACGGAGGCATTTGGTGCCCAGCGCCAGGTTGAGCCGAAGGGGCCCCTGGTGAGCTTGGCACAGGGACCATGGGGGGGGATGACCCACAATGGCTCTGGGGAGGCAGATGGGTTGGGGGGGGATGAGGCAAAGAGGGGTGCCAGGGCCAGGCTGCAGGAGAGCAGGGGGGGATGTGGCTCACAGAGGGGTGCCAGGAGCCCCAGCTCCAGGCAGGTGACTGTCCCTTGTTCCCCCAGGTGAACTCCGAGTACTACACAGGCTGGCTGGACTACTGGGGGGAAGCGCACGCCAGCACCAGCTCTGTGCGGGTGGCCCGGGGGCTGGAGGACATGCTGCAGCTGGGAGCCAGCGTCAACATGCAAGTAGTCAGCTGGCAGGGGACACAGCCTGAGGGCGGTGATGCCCTCCCCTCTGCCAGCATTGGAGCAGGCATCACTGCTCGCCTAAGTCCTGCAGGGCTTGGGCAGGGGGAGGCAGGCAGGGCTGGGACTGCGGGTGCAGCAGGGAGGGGGCAGTGCCTGGTGAGCCCCTGCTGGGTCTGTGGGGTGCTGACAGGGCTCCCTGGGGTGTCCCGTAGGTACATGTTCCATGGGGGGACGAACTTCGCCTACTGGAGCGGTGAGTAGGGCCCTGCTCTAGGGAGAGGGGGCACATTGCGGGGATAGGGGGCTTTCCTTGGCCATCCCTGAGGAGCCTGCTTCAGGCTCCTGTTCTGTCCCTGGGGACAGCATGGGCTGACACATACCCAAGGGCCCCTGCACCCAAGCTTGTCTCCCCCTGGGGACTCCTTTTGTCCCCCAGCAGGGGCTTCCAGTTCTGGGTCATGCCCCTCCCATTGCATTGCAGCCAGCCTGGTGCTGGGTTCCATGCCATGGGCTCTGCCAGAGCCCCTTCCTCCAGCTCCCATCGCTTCCCTGGCCAGGTGCTGACTTCAAGGACCAGTACAAACCAGTGACCACCAGCTACGACTACGATGCCCCCCTCTCGGAGGCAGGAGACCCCACCGAGAAGCTGTTTGCCATCCGCACGGTCATCAGCAAGGTGCTGAGTCTGGCAGGAAGAGGGGGACAGCACTGGGCATCACTGCCTGTGCCAGGGAAGTGGGGACACAGGGACCTGGCAGGGCAGGGGACATCTCCCTGCTCACCCTGGGGGGCAGCTGACAGTTTGCTGTTCAGTTCCAGCCCTTGCCAGTCGGTCCGATGCCACCTGCCACCCCCAAGTATGCCTATGGTTGGGTGGCCCTGCGGAAGGTGAGTGCCTGCCCCGAGGGCTGTGCTGTCCCTGCCCAGCACTGCCTGGCTGCACAGCGCCCATCCCTCTCTTTGCAGTATGCCGACCTCCTGGATGTCTTGGATGTGCTGTGCCCCTCTGGGCCCATCCAGAGCCAGTTCCCCCTCACCTTTGAGGCCATAAAGCAGGTGAGGGGCTGGGTGCAGTGCTGGGGGAGATGTTCCTAGGCTTGCCTGCCCTGCCCTGGCTCCGGAGTGGAGGAGCCGGGCTTGTCTCCAGGCCCATTTCCCTTTCTGTGCCAATCTGTTGTGTCCTGCAGGTCCATGGCTTTGTGCTGTACCGCACACAGCTGCCCCGGGATGTCCTGGACCCAGCCACACTGGGCGCTCCTCCCCACAGCATCTGTGACCGCGGCTATGTGATGCTGCAGAAGGTGAGGCTATGGGGGCACAGCCATCCCTGGCCCAGCCTCTTGGTGGGTTGTAGGATCTACTGGCAGCAGGGCCATGCCCTGCCAGGGTCTTGAGGACAGCCAGGGTGCTGAGAGCCACACTGAGCCCTTGTGGGGTAGCCCTCTGACCTGAACTTGTCCCCTCTGGGGGCAGAGGGCAGCCCTGGGCTGGTTCTGGGAGAGCAGGCACCAAGATGCAATGCTGGCAGGCTGCTGGCAGTGACTGGGGCAGTGGGATCCAGGGACGGGGCAGCAGTGCTGACCCTGTGACTGCAGGAGTACCAGGGGACGCTGGAGCGGGATGGGCAGACAGCACTGCACGTGACGGGCAGTACTGGGGACACCCTGGATGTGCTCCTGGAGAACATGGGCAGGATCAGCTTCGGGGCCAACATCAGTGACTTCAAGGTGAGGGGAGAAGGGGCCCTGGGACTCTGGAGGAGATGGCCCAGGCACCTGTGTGGCCAAACACCCCCCTCTCCTGCCACCCGCAACAGACCCCAGCCACAATGCAGCCACCCCCAGACCTGCTCCCTGGTTAATCTCACACCATCCCCTCCCCTGGTCCTGGCAAACCCACCAGGACCACAATAAGGCCATGAGATTGGCACCCATCTCAGTTACACTGCCATGGCAGCCAGGGCCATGCAGCCTCTCTGAGGGGATCCCATCCTACCACGACTGCTGTGAGGGGAATGTGCCCTGGGGAAGCCAAGCATCCTCCTGCCTGTGGCAGATCCTGCTGCCTCATTTTGCCTGCTGCTCCATCTCAGGGCCTGCTGGGGAACCTCTCCTTGGACTCCAGCCCTCTCAGGAACTGGCTGATCTATCCCCTGGCCATAGACAGTGCCGTCCAGCAGGGCTGGCCCCATGCTGTCCCACCGAAATCAAGCAGTAGGGGCAGAGCAGGGCCAGCCTTCTACACTGGGACCTTTGAGACCCCTGGCATCGCGTGGGACACCTTCGTGAAGTTCCCAGGTTGGAGCAAGGTAAGGCGGTGCATAGCTGGGAGAGGGAGTGAGGGTGGAGAGTGGCACAGTTCAGTCCCATCTCCCTCTTCCAGGGCCAGCTGTGGATAAACGGCTTCAACCTGGGCCGGTACTGGCCTCTCCGCGGGCCCCAGCAGACCCTCTTTGTGCCCGGCTCAGTGCTGCACGTTGGCCGCCCCAACAACATCACAGTGCTGGAGCTGGAGGGGGCACCCTCTACCCCTCTCTTGCTCTTCCTTGACCGACCCCTTTTCAACAGGACCCGCAGCCGCAGCACTGCAGCCACAGAATAAACATAGGGCTGCCAGGCACTGGCATCGCCTCTCGGTGGGGATGCAGAGATGGCAGGGGGCTGGTGAAGCACAGGGGCAAGCGGAGGGTCTGCAGGGCCCTAGGAAAGCGGCACACGTCCTGGCATGGACATCCAGAGCTCCTGCCCTCCTCTGGGGCCAGGCAGGGTCTATGCTAAGGACAAAGGGGCCCAGGATTGAGCTTGTTTTGCATATTAATACCACACTCATCCCAAACAGTTCCAGTGCTCATGCTGACTCTCCCCCCACCTAGGGGGTCAAGGCACCTCTTTATTGACAATGCAGGCAGAGGAGGTAGTTGCTAACATGATACAGCTGAGACACTGATGGCATCGAGGAACGGGCAAAGCACAGCCTAGAGGGTGCCTGCAGGTAGCTCGGAGCTGCAGGGGCCAGTTATGTCAGGATCTGTCCCACTGCCATGGGCAGCGGCCTACAAGGTAGCCATGAGAAAAGCTGGCAGCAGGACCCCTGGCTGGAGCCAGGCCACAAACCAGTCCTGGCACATCACCCACTAGCACATGGGGACCTCTCAGTTGTAATGTCCCCAGAGTCACCTCCCAGAGTGACATTCTTGCCCAGAGCCTTGCCAGAGTTGCCCCGGAGAGCGACATGGCCAGCTCAGTCCCTCTCACCAGTGCTGCTCCACAGGCTCTCCCTCGCTGCACAGCCAGTGCTCAGCCGTGTCTCCACCACACTGGTCCTTGGCAGGTGGTAGCAGTCCCCAGCCTTACGTGTGGCCAGCCCGGGCCCGGCGGTGGGTTTGCAGGCAGGCCGTGGAGCAGAAGGAGAAGTCAAGGTAATGGAAAGGGATTCGGCCCAGCAGGGACTCTCCACAATGCCAGCAGCGGCTGCAGGAAAGAGCAGAGGTGGCCCTGAGCGAAGGAGACACTTGCAAGAGGGTTAGAGGATTCGCTGCCTGGGCTGTGGCACAAGACACCAGAAGCATGGGGGAGCTGGTGTTCCTCTGGTCCTACAGGGCTGATGTGATCACCCAGCAGCCCGGCAAGGACATGCTCCCTGGAGGCGATGCTGCCTGGGAGCGTGGTGTGAGGGCACGTTGAGGCAGGCTGAACATGGGGGAATTTGGTCCCCTATGGGGTTATAAAGCCCCTGCCCAGAGCAGCACAGGCAGGGCTGGCTGCCCACAAGCCTGTGGGGTGGCATAGGGAAGGGACATGGGATGTGGGTTCAGGGACAGGGGCACAGGAGTGGCTGGGGGTTGGCTTGCTGTAGATCTGGCTGCAAGTAGACCAAGTCATTCTTTGCAAAATATTTCAGGGGGGCAGGGCAAGAGAGAGAGAAAGCTTTTACACAGGCACTACTGGGAATCGAGTGGACAGGAATAGCTTTAGACTGGAAATAAGAACTAGAGCAAGAAGAGCAGGGAACAGCTGTGCTTATGTGGGAGAGTTTGTCTGCGGAGCCGTGCTGCCGGGGCTATTACCTGATGTTGGCAAGAGTTGTGCCAGCGTCCTGCCGCTGCGCAGCCAGCCTCTGCTCGGCAGCCAGCGCCCTCTGGGGAACAGAGAGACAGCTTAGCCCCTCCAGCTCCTGTGCCCAGAGCCCACCACATCGGCACTGCCCCAGCCAGGCTGGATCCCCTTCCCCATGCACAGCCTCACCTTCTCCCTGTCGGACAGGGCTGCGAACCGTTGCTTCTCTCCCTGTTCCTGTTCCCAGCGCTGCCTCTCCTCCCGCTGCGCCTGCTCCCGCTGCTTCCGCTGGGCTTTCTGTGCCCGCTTCTTCTCTAGCTTTTTGGCCTCCATCTCCTGTGTCAGGGGCCCTGGCACCTGGGAGCAGAGGGCAGTCAGCATCTCCCACTGAGCCAAGGGCAATGGCATGAGTGGGCGAGGGGCGCTTTGCTCTGGGGTCCCCCAGCCCCTGGAAGGCGAGGACAGAGGGCAGGCACCCACCTTGGCACGGCTGTAGTCGTACTTGTCTGGATGGTCCACCATGAACTTGCGGAAAGCGTTGCGGGTTGGTTTGTCAGCAGAGACGCAGTAGGGGGTTCTGTCCTGCCTGTCTCTGCAAGATGAGGATGACCAGCTCACCCTGCTGTCTTACTGCCTACATCCCACTGGGCTGTGAGCCCAGCAACTTCCCAGGGATGTCCAATGGGTATTGCAGGCCAGGGTATCACAGCCAAGGAGGGGAAAGTTGCTTCTCCCTACACCAGAATCCCCCAAATTCTCCCCTTCTTGCATCTCAAATGCCCTGCAAAGGGTGGTCTCATCCCTAACCTCTGAAATGTCTACCAATAAACCTGGGAGCACTATGGGGCAGTGCCTGCCTGCTGCTGTGCCAGACCAGGCAGGCAGAGAGAATGGTGGTTCAGCTCTTAGGCCTCCCGTAACAAACCCAGACATCTTGGCTGGGAGAGACCAAGCCTGGCTGTCCCAGGACAAAGCTGGCACCAGTCTCCCGTGGCTGAGACAGGAGGGAGCTGCTGGGCTCCTACAGCAGGGGCTGTGCTCGTCAACCGCTGGGCACCCTGTGGCCATACCTGAGGGCAGGGTCCGCCCCTGCCTCCAGCAGCAAACGCACAGCCTCAGCCTTCCCTGCCTGTGCTGCCACATGAAGCAGGGTGCAGCCACGCTCATCCATGGGCTGGTTGAGCAGGGAGCGGGGCATATCCAGGGGCTGTGTGCCCTCCCCATCCTCGCTGTCCTCTGGCAGGCCCCCACTCTCTGGCACACCCAGGAGGTGCCGCAGCATCCCCACATCCCCCGTTTTGCAGGCAGTGAACAGGGCATCGCGGAGCTGGGTCTGAGGGTCTCCTGTGAGGGAAGAACAGGAGGGGAGTCTGATGGCTCCCTGGGCAGAGCGGTGCTCTGGTCTGACTATGAAACACATACAGCGCAGTTAAAGTATTGTCCTGCTAGCTGGATTTGAGCACTGCAGGATCTCCAGCACCTTCAGAGTCTGTGACAACATGCCACGGCATTGCTGGGCACTGCTGGCAGCAGCCAAGCCCTCTCCTGAGATAAGACCCACTCCAATCTCCCCAATGCATCTGGCTTAGCCAGGTGCTGCCTGCCCCCCCAGAGCCAGCTACTGCTCTGAACACACAGCGCCCTTGAAGGCATGTGGCTGCACTATAGCCATCCCACACCCAGCTGGTCTGGGCACCTGTGTGACAACGTGCTCTTCACCCTGCTGCAAAGCCACCAGCAAATGGGGCGGGCATCCACCCGTCCCAGCTCTGGACCCCACTTACTATTGCCCCAGGGAAGGGGCTCAGTCCCAGCTTCCTCCTGCAGCTCCGTCACCAGCTTCAGGCCAGGCTGCCCACACTGGGTACCATGGCACCCTGTCTCTTCGGCACAGGGCCCTGCACAGGGAACACATGGTGAGGAAGAGGGCCAGGGTCAGCCTGCACCCCAGCCGTGGCAGTCCCTTCCCCAGTGCCTTCCTACACTGTCCCCCGCCAGTTCTTCCCCTTCACCTTTCTCCACCTTCTTGTCCCGCTTCTTCCTCCTTTTGCGGTTTCGCTTGGGCATCACTTCAAACTCCCGGAGGTCCAAGGTCCCTAGTGTCACTTCCACAGTCTCCAGTTCCCCTGCAGGGCTTTCCTCCTCTTCTTCTTCCTCCTCTGGTGCTGAGGGGGGTGATAAGACAGGGGCTGAGGCCCCCCACATAGCACAAATCACTCAGGGCTCTCAGCCAAGCACACCCTGCCCTTCTGCCCAGCACAAGGCCACACACTACAGATCCCCGCTGTGGTGCCAGACCCTGTCACGGGGCTGTAAATCTGGTCCTGCGCCATAACATCAGCCACCCTTGCTTGCTCCATGGCTCAACTCACCACTTGCGTCCTCCTGCGGGGGATCTACCTCTGCTTTCTGCCGCCTCTTCTGCCAGCCTTTCCGGGGGGACCCAATGATGTCCTCCAGTGGCGTGTCCTTCCCTGGGCAGCAAGGGTGCTCCTGTCATTGCCTGGGGACAGGGAGCGCCCCATGTCTCCAGGAATTGAGGGTCGGAGAGCCGGCACCTCAACCCCATAGGGCAGCATCCCCTAACACACATGGGATTACACGAGGGACCATGTCACCCCACCTGCTCTGACCCACAGGCACTGGGTCACTAGGGCTGGGCCGACTCACCATACACCTGCAGGCTGGCCAGTGTGGCATGGACTCGCAGCACCTCCTGCAGGGTGGCCCTGCGGGTGCTGAGGGGGATATGGCAGATGCGAGGGTCACCCCGGGAGAGGGCCGGGTTCCTGCTGCCAAAGAGCAGAGCACGGTTGTGGCGTGGGGCCCGGAGAAATATGCGCTGAGCTTCCTTCAGGTGCTGGGCCCAGGCTGCCAGCAGGTCCCGAACATCCTGGGGAGGAAGGGGAGGCACCACAGGGTCCTGAGCGCACCGTGTGGGCACAGGCAGGTCTGGAGCAGGGACGGACCCAAAACAGAGCAGCCTCAATTGGGCCCTGACCCTCTTCCAGAGCTCACACCCTACCTGTGCCCTTCAGCAGTGGTGCGGTACCACCCCACAGAGCCAGCCACGACCACATCTCCCTGCCGAGAGCCCAGTGCTGTGGCGCATCCTCACCTTGAGCAGTGCGGCCTCATTATAACGCCGCAGGGAGGCTCCAGCTGACCTGGGTGCTGACCCTGGGGTCTTGGCATCCCGTAGGCCCTGGGCTGTGCCCTGTCGGGCTCGCACCGTGTAGTGGTGGAAGGTCTTGTGCTCTTGCACCTGGGGGCTGCAGAGAGGGGCAGACATGAGCAACGAGGCCCCATGCATGGAGAGGTGGAGAGCTGATGCTCCTGGGACCCCAGAGGTCTTGTGGCTTGCCCCTGGAGCCCTAAAGATTAATACTTCTCTTGCAGCGCAACTGGGCTTAAACAACTCTCAAGCAAAGACTAGGAGCTGGAGATGCCCAGGGTAAGCACTGCGATGGAGGAATAGGGAGGGGACGGCCATCCAATGCCTAGCCCCACTTGTCCTTGCCCAGAGAGGCAACCCCACGTCTGTCCCCCTGGACTCACCCACGAAACACAGCTCCTGCGAAGTGCCCGCCGCCCATCATTAGCACAACCCAGCACGTGGTCGCACCAAGGCTCTGCAGTGATGCCGTCAGGTTCACTGGCTCCTCACTGCAGCCCTGAGACAGAGACACCCCTGCTAGCACCCACAGGATCACCTTGTTACCTCTTGCTGTTCCCTGGGACAGAGACCAGCCCCTCTTCTGGCACCAGAAGCAGGTTTCTGGGAGCACCCTGGAGCCAAAAAACAGGCCACCAGTAAGCCTGGGGAGCTGACCTGGTATCAGAGACCACCCCTCCCACCATGGGATGTGAGGGACTGTCAGGCAGACATCTCCACACCAGTGCCTTCTCTGAGGTCTCTGTCCCAACAAGTTGGGCTGTGACTTGCCTTCCCAATGCCCAGCACGCAGCGGTAGGCGGAGATGAGCTGGCCCTTCGCATTGCGGAGCAGCACCTTGTGGGATCGGGGAACCAGAGGGGTTATGGGACTGTCGCTGGTAGAGGGCAGCAACTCCGATTCACTGCTTGCATCGGAGCTCTCTGAGTCAGACCCTGAGATGCTGGAAATGTCACCTGCAAGAGAAGGAAAATGGAGCAGAGCAAACATTAACCAACAGCTTCCCCAAAACTTTGCAGGTGGCTCCAAGGGCCAGCTCACAACCCCAGAAATGTCCTGTCTGATACCCTGCATATCACACAGGGGCTGTGGGCTGGGATATAAGGCATTTGGGGCTCTGGATCCCCAGGTATGCATAGACATGGCTCAGATAGAACACTCCTTTCTTCCCATAATAAGCCATCAGGGCTCAGAAGCAGTGCTGAACCCCCAGGAGACTCCCCAGAGGCAGAATAAAGGGACCCTGAGCAGCAGGGACAGTCAGGGGCTTCATTCTTGGACAGAACAGACCCATCAAGATAGCTGATGGCCTCTGAGCTCTGCTGGGGGCCACCCCGTTCCTCACCTGCACGGGTCTTCTCCTCAAACACTTCTACTGGCAGTATCTGGCGCCCCAGGAGTCGCTGCTTCAAGTTGAAGCGGTGCCAGTCAAGACGGTAGTGCTCAATCTGTGGAGGAAAGAGATATGAGCTGGCAGGCTCTTGGTGGTCCATGGAAACCCCTGCCACCAAAGGCCCCAAGCTGCCAGACCCCAAGGGCTAAACTGATGCTGGGACCCTGCAGTGATCCTGACTGGAAGACTGTGATACACTAAGGAGTTAGCCATGTAACAGTTAACCTGAACAGGCACAGGCCTGTGCTGCATGTACCATCTACCTCCAGTAAATGACATTTTAAGTGGTAACAGGCAGGGTCCGAGTGCCAGATCCCAACAGGATGTGGGCAGCAGAGCTCTGGAAAGCAGCCAGCGCTGGGCTGCACCGCAGCAGGACCCTGCCAGCCATACCAGCCTCACTCCTACCTCACGCTGGCTGCTCAGTCCCACTCACCTGCTCCTCCCGGCTGCCGAACACCTGCCCGCACGTTGAGCAGCACATCCGCTCCGGCACCTCGGGGACCCCGTGGGCCTTCTCCTTGCCACTGGCACCTGTGGGTTTCTCTGGAAGAAGAAGGGAGGGCTGTGCACAGGCAGCTCCCCAGGCTGCACTGCAAGGAGTGGGGCCTTTCTCAGTCATCCAAAGAGCCCTGTGGCTGTAGAAGGATCTTCGGGGACATTGGGGTGCCTCTAAGGAAAGCCCATTTACCCACCCACCAGGCAGCTCCCGTGGCCAAGCTCCAGGGCGGCCACCCAAGCTGTGTTGGGGACAGAGCTCCTCCTTCCTGACTTGGGGCTGGCAGACATGAGCTTGGCCAAATACTACCTCCCCCCCCACTGCCCCCGCAGAGCCCCACGCACCGTGGCTCAGTGGTGCCGGCTCGGCGGCCCACCCATCCGCAGCAGCTCCGGTGACGAGGGTCAGCCCGTGCAGGAGGACGCGGTCCTGGGCGGCCTCGAAAACCGACCTGCTCTCCGGGGCCGGCATCGCTCCTGCTCCCAGCGGAAGGGACAGGGCCTGAGCGACGGGCC